TGTTTATTTAATTAAAATTGTTTTCTACATCATTACTTCTTATATATTACTTTTTACGCATTATGTTTTTTTTTATGTTTTCATTTTAAAATGTTTATTTATATCGTTAGCATTTTATTCACTTAACATAATTCAATTTGTAATAATGTTATTTAAAATTCGTGTATAACATTATATTTAAACGTAAAAATGAAATAAAGTTGACTGATAATATGTATATTACTTTTTCTAAAAAATTAAACAGTAATACATGCGTTTTAGCAACCTTGTATTTAATATTCACTGTTATTTTGATGTATACTTTTAACAGTTATTAATTTCTTGTTGATTTCTCCAAAAAAAAAAAAAAAATTGAAGGCTATTGCTGGTCTAAATGGTCATTTAATTTGTTTTAATGTTCACAATAATCGAGCTGTTTTTTACCTATTTAATGATAGAGCTAGAAGATATTGAATGTAAATATTTAATTTTTAAGAATCACGCAAAAATCTAAATATTTACTTTTGAACGACATTGATGTTGTTTATCAAATTAGCTTCTGATAATCGTAGTTTTAAATCGTAATTGAATACATATGTATAGATAGTATATTTGTATATTTATGTACTCTTTCGATGAGTATGTATTAAATAATTTAAAAAAAAAAATTGTTGGTGTTAATTTTTAAACTTTGTAATTCATTGGTTTCAATTTTTATGTTAAAAATTATTATTAAAAATAATATTTAATGATATAACTGTTCGTATTGATATATCAATATTAATATAAATTTATCATCTTAATTAATACACATCAGTGTAAATTAGTAATAATTATTGTCTAATTAATATAAAACTGGTATGTTCGAAGAAAACAGAATACTAGAAAACATGCATTTAAAGTAGTATTACATTGAACTATATATAAATAGGTATTTGGAACTATAAATAAATTAGTCTTAATTGAAAACTATACATTATGCTATATAATTATTGGCAAAATTTTATTAAATCACGTTTATAGATTACTATAATTGATTTAATGATAATAAAGATAATTATCGAACTTAAACATGTTTATAAAATATTTTATTTCGTATCTAATAAAACGGTAGATTAAATTAGTATCATTTTTGATTTGACTTACTTTTCATTAAAATAAAATACCCTTTTTTTATGATTCATAATCGGTGAAATTTTAAAAATGTTTTTAATTTTATAATCTTCTATGAATCCTGATAATTTTAAAAATGTAGGTAAATTGAGGTTTATTTGAAATGCATCTTTGTTATAATTTGTGGATTATTTACTCTTGATTTTTTTATTTTAAAATTGGAATGATTTTCTGTGAATTTATCTCAGTATTTTGACCTTGTTAGAACTATATGATTTGCAGTTATTATTTATTAATATTGTTTTTAAATGGTATTGTAACGGGATATTATGATCATTTTAAAGGTCAACATTTCTTGTATAGTTTTGATAAGTTGCTATTGAGTGTTGTACTTCTATTATGACTAGTTTAAATTTAGGAAAAAAGTGACGGATAATATTATTTAATATTTAAACAAAATTTCTGTTAGAACTTATGATTGTAAGTTAAATTCAATATTTTATTTGCCTATTATGAACATCGGAGTGTTACAAAATCATTTAATTTTAAATATGATAAAGAATGGTTTATAATTTATAAATTATTGTATTTATTCAGCTTTTTTTATTTGAGATTTTTATATTATTTATTTATTGTCTTTTGTATCATTTGATTACCCATTTTTTAACAACTTAATTATGTATTATATGTGTTTTATATATTGAAGTGACGACATTGATGAGGGTAAATTTACCCTAGTATGCTTTTAATTATTTCATATATTACTTATAATTTTTCGTATTGACTTTAAGATTTTTCCATAGGCTTACAAATTATCTGCTCTGATAATAAAATAATTTATTTCATGATTAAAATTATAGGTATTACATATTATATATAATGTTACAATTCAAACTATAGTCTATATATATGTATATTAATCTGTTAATTATTTTAACAGTTAAATACTGAAATTATTAGAATATAAAAATAGCTAATTCTATTAAAGTTGTCTTTAAATTGATTTTAACTCTTTATAAAATTACTCATTTTGAATGCATTAAAATAAAATTCTTAAAACTGATAACCGATAATTATATTTTATTTATCCTATTGTTTTAAAATGAAAACTACTGTTTAAAAATATAATATAATTTATTTTAAAATCCTTTCAGTCATAATGGTATCATTATGAAATCACTATTTATTAATTTTTTCCCTCATTCTAGTGTAGTGGTATAATATTGAAACCACCATTAAATAAGTATATTGATAGTAGAGAAGTAGAGAATTATATTCATGTATATATTGCTTAAAATTTGATTTGACTCTTGATTCTTTATTCATAATGTTTTATTTTAAATACCGTAATATTTTATGGTATTACATTTTAAATTAAGACTCATGATTTATCTTATATCCTATAAAAATATTTTTTCATAAATATATGTAGAATATAAAAATTATAACTCTATGATAGTATGTAATATTTATGTAGATATATTTTTTCATAATAAAATCAATATTTTTAGTATTTTAATATTTTTTTAATTTAAATGTTAGATAAATGAAATATTTCAAATATTAGTTTTATGTTTTTAACGAAATGTATTTATGAATATTGGTATAAAAAAGTTTTTTGTAACATTTCATGGAATTTAGCTTACTTCCATAACCTGTTTAATTTATTGAATTATATAGTTAAAATGTTAAGAAATAATTTAAAAATGCTGTTGTAAAAATAGTATAAAAAGTAATAAAATTATTTATTATGCATTTTATTGTCCACAAGAATTAGGCCGGGCGCACATTGAGACGCAGGCGACGCAGGACAGCACAGCGTAGTTTTCTGTAATCTATTAGTTAGAACGTACTAACGCATATTGGGAGGCATGGCAAGGCAGAGCAGTGCTGTGCCTGTGTCAACCTGCGTCATGCAGTGTCCGCGACACAGATAACTACACGCGCCGGCTTAACATAATTTCCACCTTTTTAAATTCAATTCAATATTTTATTTTTTATTTTAATTTTATTACGGAAGAATTTGTGATTGAAGTCGTCTGACATTACATTCGTCTTACATGTCAAGTATATGAAGACAAAATAAAAAAAAATTCCTTTTCCACAATTTTTTTACGTGTGTTTAATAAATATAATAAAAAAAGTTCAGCAAATTTATCCGTCAGAAACTGATACAGAACTTAAAATGTATTACATTTTCTGCTATAATTTCGCTCATGACAAGTGAACGGTGGCACAGAACTGTGTAGTAATATGCGCTCACATAGCTCACACAGTATTTTCTGCGCTGCGCTGCGTCGCCTGCGTCTCAATATGCGCCCGGCCTTAATGTATGTAATATATTTAATAACTTTATATGATAAATTGCATTATTTTTAAGTTAAGGTTGGGTCAAATATAATATCTTAAAAAACGGTTAGACATTATTTAATGACCTCTTTATTTGTCAGGATTTAGCGACTTGCATTAACATTCAGATAGTTTATTTATTTTTTAGATTTTCAACGGAGTATTGGAATTTATTGGTTGTACAATGATGTGTGTTTTTTTTTATTTATTTTTTATTTTTGTGTCTGTCATCACGTTTTGGGGCAGTAAAAATGCTTCGATTTTCTTAAATAGCAACTTTTCTGAAAGGAAAGTGAAGGTAGATAGTACTTTAGCAAGTCAAAAATCAAACTTTTTCAATACTTTTAAAAAGCATCGATAAAAACCATAAAAAATTACGAAAAAAAACGGGAATTTTTACGCAAAACCACATTTTGGTAAACTACTTTTTTTTTAAAATGCTCTAACTCAAAAACAAAAAACCGCATACACTTAAAATTTTCACCAAATATTTAAATTATCATTTTCTATACATGATAATATTTTCAAAGTATTTTGAAATTTTTTGACTTATTTATAGACAGTTAAAATTTCGATTTTTCTAAATTTTTTTTTTGAAATACCGATAAAAAATTTGGCTGTAAGAAAACTCTTGAAAACTTAATGCAAGATTTATTATAAATTATACTTATCGAAACTAAAAAAAAATTGGAAATCATTCCACACAAATTTTTTTTATAAACCCATAAAGGTCCATAGTTGTATGAAATAAGTTAAAATAGCGATAATTTGCATGTTATTTTGTAGTTAAAAATTCATAAAATTTTTTTTACTTATACTTAAGGTGTACAATTTTAACACAAGGTTATCCATAAGTTATTCTTCTAATAACTTTAAAAAAAATTCTACCAGACTTTAAGGAAACATTTTTATGACCGTTTGAAATTTAAATTTTTACGAAATTGTATAAAATAACGATTTATCCTCAAACGATTTTAAATATTTGTTATTAATCAAAAAGTGAAAGTCGCAGAAACTTATAACATACTAGTTATTAATTTTGGCATTTGCTTTAAGTGTATTTTTTTCAAAATATTATACTGATTTTTAAGCAACTTATAAGCAATTGAAATATTCGATTTTTCCTAATAAAATAATAAGAGTCGTTTTGACTCATTTTTTGTTAATTAAAAATAGTTATATAGGATATTTATATAGAACTTATATCCAAATAGAACAATTTTGGAAGACTGCTTTCTATATATAAGATTATTATAATGTAATAATAATAATAATAATATATATATATATATACATACATAGGTATATAATAATATTTTTTCTATGTATATCTAACAAATCATCTTTATTCAGAATCGTTATTCGTATACAATGATACCTATCGTTGCATTCAAATTTAACAAATCCATTGTAATGACCTATTCTAAAAACGAGGTGCACTCCACTCCCTATTGTACAGCAGATCGAGGCTCATCCGGTTCTTTTTATTTATTAAAATAAGCTGTACATTGATTGTGCATTAATGTTAATAATTATTTTTTTTATTATTTTAATTGTAGGAACATGACAGTATTTTGGCTGCACGGCGAAGAACTAATGTTTGGTGGCAATGCAGTACATCCAGTGCAACAAAGGATACCACAAATGAAAATGATGAAAGTTCACATACCGTTCACGTTCAAATTACATGAAACTTCGAATTCTTCTTACTCTGGTGAATATATGTAATTTATTACACAAGAAAAAAAAATTATTAGAAGTAGGTACCTTTATTGATACGGTCCAACGTTGATGACGTATGTTACCTAGGTGTGAAAATTTCGAGTGAAAAGTATAAAACGGTATGGGTGTAAAAGTAGAACCCTGGACACCCCACGTCAAGCGTAGGACTGAACCACCAATTATCTTTTCATTCGTCATTAACACTTACGTAGCAAAGGGGTGTCCGCATTGTACGGCTGAGGAGGGATAACACACCTCGTCAATAGTTTATCAATTAAAATATTTTGTTTTAATCTATCGTTTTTGAAACGTTTATTTTCTATTTATTTTTAAATTGTCTTCGAAGTAAATTTAATAATATTTATGTTCCAAATATTTGAGACAACAGTCATTCATACAGTCAATACATATTTATATCACTTTCTTTTTTGTAGTTAGTAAAATTTTAGTGTTTTTAAATGAAAAAAATTAGAGATTTTTTTTATTTTAGTTAATTTAAATATTTGGTTAATTTATTGATCAATTTATATTTATATAATAATATTATTTTAAATATAAAATTTTTTTCAAATTAAATTAATTGTATTTATATAAATGTTAATATTTCTTTGCTAACATCGTTTAACAATTTGCTTCGGGGCTTGGGTTTGCTCCTTTGGACATTCCTTTGTGCATACGCTTTTGTTACTGTAAAAAGGACACACAAAATACACCTAATCTAACTGAAATATCCTGAAACTTTATGATCCATGAGTTTCTGGTTGAGCATTTTTTGTGAAAAATCAAACTATGGAATACATTTATTGAGAATCCTTGATTATATAATTCAGTATTATTTTAAATGTTGATATCTTATTACAATAAAGAAACAATGGTTAATTCTTCGAATAGTACTTTTACCAAGAATTTTGATTCAATTAAAAAATATATGTTTATTTATGGATGTAAACGTTTATATAGCGCAATAAGAATGTCCTGTGTTTATAAATCAAATCTTTTGAAAATCTTTTCGTAATTAATTTGGTTTCTAATTACAAAAATAATATTCGGGTATTTGTTTCCAGTTGTTGATGATTAAAAATGTATTGAACAGTAACACTTAATAGCTTCATTTCGATTATTAAAAAAAAAAAATTTTCGTGACTAATAGATTTATATTTATTCAAAGGTACTGGTTGACCCTCGTTTTGTATAGATATAGAAACATACAAAATTACATATTATCCTATTATAAACTGATCCTTGACTTTTCATCATATCACGTAACATTTATTCGTATTTTTGCCTCACGCGTACTTAATAATTAAGTTATAATTATTATAACTTATAATAATATATTCATTATATAAATATGTTTGAATATTAATTGGAAGCCAACTTTAGTTGTATGTTATGTCTGCGTTGCTTTTAAAAATGACTAAAAATATTGAGCTTTTTGTTTAATGAATTTTTTTGTTAATTTTATATACACACATTTTATATGAAATTAAATATATATATTAATCACAAGATGTTTGCCTGTTGTCTGCAATGTTCGTGATCAATATCGATCTGTTTTCATATAATAAATACAAAATGTTTAAATATTTTTCTTGATAAACATACTTAAAATGTGTTAATTTTTAACAATTTTTTTTTACAATAACAATTGGATTCATACAATTATATATGATTATTTGAACCACATTGATTCATGTGGATGATTATTTTATCGTTAAGCCCACTGGATTCTGGTTCAATAAATGTTTACTTTAGGTGAATATATTATATTATAATAGTAAAATAGTTTGTAAATATGAAAATAAAACAATTACCATATTAATTTGTGTTAAGTATTACTTTTAGTGTATTACTGTATAAGGAATATATCAGTGTTGTTTAGAATTTCATGTATATTCAATTATTTATTGAGTTTAAAATCGGGCATTTTATTTTTAAAAAAAACTTCTTGTGGTAAATTCTTATAGACATTTTCGAAAATGTATTTTATATATTAATTGCATTGAAGTTTTCAAGCAAAACTAATTTTGATTAAAATAAATTTGTTTTTTAAGATTTTTTAAAAGTAAACATTTTTGGAGTTGAAGAAATACTTGTTGTTCTTGTAAATAGTACATCTAAGTTAAATCTTATTTACATTTTAAACTTCATTCCTTTATACTAATAGTATTAGAACTAACTCAACTAATAGATATTTTTCATCATTACCAATTTTATTTACTTCCATAGAATTCTATGTACTCATCAAACGTCATAGGAATGCCAACTAGTGTACTGAAATAGTAGTGCTTCAACACAAGATTAGACGCCAAAAATCATGCATATTATTTGTCTAATGCTATTTTTATAAATTATTATTTTGTTCATTGGCTTATAATATTTAATTTATTTGCAGTATATGACAAATGATTATATGATTATACTATTCTTATTTTATTTAAAATAATATCAATCTGATTATAATTACTAGATAATTATTTTATATAATTACAATTAATTAAAGATTTGTTTGTTTTACTTAATTTTTGAATTTGTCAGTTGTATTTTTATTTAAATAATTTGATATGCTAACATCAAATTATTATCATCGTTATTGCTAGAATTGACTAAAGCCTTCAAAATAGTGTATTTTATTTGATAACTGTTAAAATTTTATCGAAGATTTCATCTATTAAGTTTTAACATATTTTATTTGAATTTTTTATGTTGTCTATTACATTTTTAACTTGATATAACTGGTTCAAAAGCTTTTTGCATGTAATTTATAAAATTATTAATTATTTAGAAATATTATTAACCATAAATTATTATGATTTTGAAACGAAAAAATAATTTAGAAAACATTATTTTAAAAATCTTGTTATTAGATTTATAATAATTATTTAATAATTATCTTCTTTGCTTTGATTTATTTAAATAGTATAATCTATTTTTAAATTATAATATATAATGATATTATAATTATATACTTACAATCTACATTGAGATGTATATATGTATATTAATATTTATATTATATCATGGTATGCGAGTAGTATTCTCACATTTCACGTGATTAATGATTTTTGAGATAACCATGTTTTATTATTTACGTGTCAACATTTGATCTTTAAATTCTTTCATAATTTAAGTTATTAAATAACTAAATTGCTTTTTGTATGTATGTCTATGAATATTGTGTATATGTAAATACTTACTATTCTCCCTTGAATTATCATCATAATACATAATATATGTATGCTTTACGTATGTCCTCATATTTCGAAATTATATATTCGCAAAATACGGCATCATAGCAAGCCAGTTTATTTTGCTAAGTAAACTAAATACCAAATTAATATTTGAATTTAATTTATTAAAACTAAAAATAATTAAAAATATATTTTGCAGTGCAGTTGAAGAGAGAGCACAGTTTAATTTATTCATCTGAAGTATAGAATTCTAACTGAGTACACCAAATATTTTGATTGTAGCACAAGCCAAGAGATGATAGTACTTATTATTAATTAGTATTAATAAAATATTTTTTCTTGTAGCATTAACAAAAGCATTGGTGTCATCATAATTTGGCGCACTTTCTTAGTTTTAGAATTATGCAAGTATAAAGTTTACTTATTTTGTGTTGTTTTTAAGGTGGTTTTTTATAATAAAGCTTTAAAAAAAGGGCTATTTCTGATTTGGTTCCGCAGAGATCATGAAATCCATGAACTTAAGAGGACTAAAGTCTGTAGCTGTAATTTTTCCTTGTTTAAAATAAACAATTATGAACTAATTTATGCTCCCTTTATTCTACAAAAACAAAAGTTGCTAACTCTTTTCGACTTATTTCTTTGCGCACTCTTTAAATTCAGATCTGGATATATTATGTTTTTTTGTTACTGGGTGTTAAAAACACTGTATATTTTTTTCTATATTTGCATATAGTTAAGTTATCATATTATCTATCAATATTTATAGATTTTAGTCTTTCCACAAACTATGTACTTATTATCAATTAATTCTTATGTAATTAGAATTTGCTTCCGTACATTACATAGCTATTATTGCTTAGTAGTGTTCCTATTTATAACTCAATCTATTAACTCGTATGGTTTGTATTATTTTTTAAACGGCTTCTGTAAAATATTTTTATAAGACTGTTTATTCTAATAAAATAACTTCAAAGTTATGCTGGCATATTATTACTATCGTAATTTATAAATAACAATATTTTGAGTTAATAATTTGACTAAATTTACTTATCTCATTAAGATAAAATATATTTAAGTACTTGAATTATGATGCTACAATTTACAAAATCATATACTAGAGCCGAATGCTCTAACGTATAAATAAACCTATTTTTAAGTGAAATTTTTTTTTTTTATGATTTAATTTTTTTTAATAAAATTTTAGTACTAACAATTTAACAACTAGAAAAAAAAAATAATTACCCTGTTATCTCTTATAATTATAGTCTTTGGTTTTTTAGTTTCTCAATAATTCAGAAATATGTACTCCCTTGAGCTGTAGACTTTAGCTATTTGTTTGACTGTATGCTATTTTTTATTAATGAATCAAAATAACAATGGAAATGATTTTTTAATGCTTAAAAAAAATCATGAATGTCTTTGTTATAATTTAACGACATGTAGACATGACAAGAATTATTATTCATACAAATTGACTTATTGAATATCAGTTTATCGAAATTTAATATTTTTTATTTTTATTGGAGGGATTTTATAAAATACTCCTTGAAAACTTATAATCAAGTAAATATTTATTTATTTATTAAGTCATTATTTAATCATATTCTTTGATCAATACCATGAATGCTTATATTTGTTATGATACTATACAATTTGGTTCAAATTTAATTTTTAACACTAAATTATTAATCAAGAACTAAAATAATTACACAGTTAATAGGATCTATATGCAAAATCAAATTAAAAATGCTACTACACGAAATTTAGGTTTATTGTAAACAAGTTTTGAAGTATTCACTAT